TAAAATTACCTGTAATCGACAATAATGAAATGGTGGTCTGCTGGTTCTGAAAGTGGACTGTTCGATGGCAAACACAAAAGTTGTGTGGGGTCTTCCCTCATTCGATTGAGCTTTGGAATGTTTATGTTCACACTTGAGGGGCAAGGCTACATTAGGGTGAAGTTACGATGTAAACACAAGCAGATAGGGAAATAATGGCTGATTATTCCGAGAATGGTAAAATATTAAATACACTCAGTGAGCAAAATGAGGAACTTAGTGTTAGAGCAGGCGGTACATATAGTTACCACTGCGCTTTAAAATGTTGATGCCGTCTGTTCTGTGATATTTCAATATGGTGTTTCAGCTCAAGCTTCCGGCACAGGTCTCGACTGGATGAGCGGTGCTGTGGGAATTCTTTTATCCTACACTGTTAAGATCACCCAAACTCTGTATAAGAAATGTGATACGAGCGACTCTGATCGAGTCAACTTTCAGAAAGTTCTTCCCGGCTGTTCGCGTGTTTGGTAATTATGTTAAGGAGCACTACTAAAATCAGAACCTGTGTTCACAACTGCAGAATTGATTACCAAGAATAATATTAAATCATGATAACTATATGTACAATTTCATTTTCGGAATAGTGGCGCATTTAACAACCGAAGCAAATAAGTATGATAACACGAATATGACGCACGTGTCGAATCATGTAACCACGTTAATACAATTTCTAATTTAAGAGTTGTGTACATGTAAATTTGAGAGGATGATATCAAGCGGAATCTATGGGAGATAGGAGTTGAAGGCCATTAGATGTTGCTGGCCCAGAACGGGGACAGGTGGATGGCTTTGGTTAATTCGTCGATGAACCTTCGTGTTCCCTAATCCATCTATTTAGTTAGTTCATGTAAAATAATATTAACGATAAACACAAATTTGTTAGTTAGAACAGTATAATCATGGGGGAATCAACACAAAGATAGCAACAAAGAAAATTCCGAAAGTATTAATACAAAGAAGTTTTATGTTCGAATATTGGCAATTCCTATTGTAATATACTTTTTCCTGAAAACCCATTTCAAAATCAAAGGTTCGTCTTACAATCGATAGCGTCTTAAAATCAAGGAAATAACAGTATTGATAAACTGAGTAACAATACAAAACAGTCTACGCTACACTTGCCTAGTTAGTAATAGCGCCGTTAAATAAACTACAAATAAATGTGTAATGGAATGCTATAATACAAGCTTAAGTAGTTCACGAAGAAATTTGTTGACGAGTAATAACGCAACAGGCATTCAAAGCGTTATTGTTACTCTCAACACACCATCACGAAAGTAACCAGAATGCGTATGGGTAAGGTACCATAAATTCTTAATCTCAGTACTAGATTGAGGTGAGTGGCTAGATTCAAGATCCGTGATGGCGTCCTTAAGAGTAAAGACATCTTAGAACACGCAGCGTAGCAAGACTAGCAAAGTTGTCGCGCGGTAAGGGCGGTTGACGCGTGAACATGATCGCCGTATTGCAAAGTCGTTCCCAGTAATGCACTCATCGCAAAAGTATGCGATGTGCATATCACATATAGGCTGCGCATATGACCACACATAACCTACAATTACACTTAATTCTTAAAATCGGCCCATGCCAAAATATTCCGCATTTCTGGTCTACTTTTCGCTGACTAAAAGGCTCAAAGAATGTCCATGAACACCCTCCTTTCACTACAATTCATCTACACAACTTGCACCTTAGATCATATTGCTTATGGTGACAGACTTGCCACGCAAAAGAAATTCTGGAAATAGCACTGTAGTTGTTAACAATCGATAATAAATAAATCAGAGAAATAAAATATTTCTCCTGTCTTTATGTTGACACTGCATGAATTTTCAAAGCAGCCGTACGTACATCAAAGCAGACCTACTTACAGATAGGGAACTCTGATGGTGCTACACACCGCACTAGTTTTGATCATATGTAATTTAATTTGCGAAATCCATAATGAACCGAAGAGTGTAAGCCACTTACAAAATTAAACAAAAGAAACAGTTCAATTTCCATGTACGAGCTGCTTTTAATAAACACATAAAGAAAACACACATTTCATTAATCATTCAATAAAGAAAATAATTTGGGGGCATACGCTTCAAATCGTCTAAGTTAACTTGCGTTGAACTGAACACACACGTTTGTACTTACCAACGCACGCAGCGTCGATCATGTGATTCGATGAACCTTTCGTTCTGTAGTGGAATAAGGCCTAAGTCAGCTGTCCTAATGTTGCAGTCTGTTAGTTTCAAAACAAATTGAGGCCACAAATTACACTGCACATGAAAGCACACTACGCTAATTAGAAGCGTCTACATAACCTAAAAATTTGTTAACCAAACACTTCTTAACTAACCGGAATCTTCCATCACACCACCAACACTCTCCATGACGAACATACAACAGCGACACGTGTCCTTCATTAATAGGTACTGTGGTCACAGACAAAGCAATAGGTGTTAAAGCAGAACGGGGCGGTTTCAGTTATGTTTAAAATTCAACAAATGCCATCTACAGTTTTTCTTTTATCTTCCATAAGATAAAGTAGACAGAAAGTCTATAAATATGATAAAATGTAGTACATACATTTCTTCGAGTCACATAACCACAGATGTTTCAATTTCTACGAGCCAGAAGACAGTTTATGTCTTGTAGTGCCGTACAGTTGGCAGAGAACTTCAAATCATGCTTTTCAGTTACTAGAAAATTTAAATGATTTTTGGAAATAAAAATGTTTTGGCGATATTAGGAATCAGGGGTCCAAATACCGCCCACATCGGTGTTCAAATGTGGTCAGTGCTAATTGGGAAACGAAATTATTACATAAATATTTAAACATTATAGAAACCGGGCAAAATTATATTGAAAATAAATCAGTTTAACAAATGGGGGCATCGGCCAGGTTGGCATGTCAACAAAATTGATAATTTATAGATTAAATTCATATATGTCTATACGGTGCGTTATGCATTATTAGTGTTCATACGGCCAGTGCATCTGTTTCTTTCTCATTGTACAGCAACATCAGCATTGCACCCTTCTAGCATGACATAATTGTTACACCAAATATTTCCAATTTATAAATACGTTAATACAGCCCCCCGGCATGATCCCCTCGACATGTAACACCATCAATCTTACGGATTTTTTACGAGTTAACTCAAAGAAGTATGCTTGTCCATGTTGCTCTCCCTGGCTGCCTGCCGCATCTTTCGGCCGACATTTGTGCTACCATCTGTCGGTAGCCGAACAACCTACATGTTTTGCGATAAAACTGGCCAACAGCTGTAACGTTTTTCGTGAAATTTGGAATGGATATACCATTGCAGATTCCTTTAAAATCACACTTATAAATTTCCTGTCAGGCCAGTGTGATGACAGCTAAAAGTTTTAACAATGTGTGAATAGAAAACATGTTTGGAGTGAAAGGAAAAATGTTCCACAAATTCAGTGTTATAATAACATTAATTTGAATAGTAAAATATACAAACAGCATAAAATAATATCTCGCGAATCAATAATTCTGGTCAGTAATAATAATTAGTTCTGAATGAAAATGCTTCAAATTATCCAAATGTTCACCACATATACTGCCTGGTATGTATCATAACTCATGTTCAAGGTATCGGCAAACTATCAGGACAGCAACACTCAATGGAATCACAAAAATCAAACAGCAGCCACTGCAGATATTCCATTTCTCCTTCAGACATGTGGTGGCTAAGCAATTTGTCACTTCAACATTGATTGCTCTAAGTGATATGTGATGGGGGGCAAATTTTGTAATTTAGTCTTATGGGCATGATGCCATGTAGTCTCATGGGCAATTAGCCAAGTCTGGGAGGAACACTGGTAACCACCAACAAGAAAACATCGCATCACAAACCACCACCCTGCCATAAGAACTTCAAATTTCATATACACAAGTTTCAGTGGTGCAAAATATTCAGTGAAGCTTCTGATTCCTTTCACAAAATATTTCTGTATTCTATATCAATTTAAGTTCTCATAAACATATGATTCCATCATGAAGCATATGTATATGCAGGAGGCATAGGATATTAAAGTACAATTCCATATTCTATAGTTTAATTTAAAAGCCAAACTTCACATAAAATATTATGCACCTTTAGAAAAAAATTACATACAGAAATTTTCAAAATGAAAGCCAGGTCTCTATGCCTTTGCTCTCAGCCCCTGCACACAAAATCTTGCCTGCATACACATGGACACGCGCGCGCACACACTCACATAATGATGTGCCTACAACATTACTGAACTAAGCAATCAATTGGCTATGACATAATAATAAAATTATAATATGAAATAATATGAAACATCACATTCTGTACTCTGCCCTGCATTTTTTACAGGCTGCTATTCACCAACTGCTCATCAGACAGAAGGTTTGCTACAGATTACTTCAATGAATGACAGGTCTTATGTTTAAACAGATACAAGACTCTTGGCCTCATTCCATCTAGTGCTGATAAGTTTTCCAAAGTTGTCTGTTCACTGTAAATATTTTCTTCTTGTTAACTCTTTCAAGTTCGCTGAATTTTGGAACCCTGATAATGACATATCAGTTTTTAAAACACACAATTTCACTACAAGCTTTATACCAAGATTTCTGTCTTCTGGGTTGTTGCGCTGTGTAGTCTGGTCGATATTTACCAACGTTTCAGAGGTCATACTGCCTCCGTCATCAGGGCGATGGAGGCAGTATGACCTCTGAAACGTTGGTAAATATCGACCAGACTACACAGCGCAACAACCCAGAAGACAGAAATCTTCATACTCACTGCTGTGAAAACCTCAAATCTTACTTTTATACCATATTATATTATATGGTAAAAGCTTTACTTATCTGCCATTTCTAGATTCTTTAATTCCAATTAAGATGGCAGGTACATAAAGGTGTAAAAAAAAAATTGCACTTTAAGACAGTTAAATAATAAACAACATAGAAGTGCAGAGTTAAAAATATTTTAATCAACATAACTTACAACACAATGAGCACTGATGCAGCAAACATTTTCTTACACTAGTGTTGTCATATGAATACTAATGCCATGAAGCAATAAAAATATTATCAATCAAATTCACTTCAATTGGCATAAAACACTGTATCTAAAACTAATGATGCAACAGATTATACCGAAACATGCGTTTCAACAACACAACATCCGGCTTCTTTCTGGTGTATTTAAAATCATCCAGTCATTCCACTACTGGAATTGAACCCATTCTCACCACGTCCATTCAGGTATCAGGATGATAATGTATTCTTTGATGCCATCACACACAGCAATCCAAAATGATGTAAACTGAAAACCACCATTAAAATATTTTTTCAGAGACCAGTTTCTCAATACAATACATTTTAAACAAATAACACAAATAATTGTTAATAGAAAGCATGATTTATAACTAATATAATACATATCAGATCTAAAACTTCTTGACGATGGTGAAGAGTCAATTGAATAAAAATTTTCTTGGATATTATCCATCGTCTAGTAAATATAAAACGTAAAACGACGTTTCGGAGATGGGACTTTATCTCCGTCTTCAGGTTCCTACACAGTTCAAGATAGGGATTAGCTCTATCTAGTGGGCCCAACTGTGTAGGAACCTGAAGACGGAGATAGAGTCCCATCTCCGAAAACGTCGTTTTTACGTTTTATATTTACTAGACAATGGATAATATCCAAGAAAATTTTTATTCAATTAATATAATACAGTGTACAGTGTGAAAACTTGTAACCCAAACAATAATTAATGTGAAGTTACGGCATTTCTTGCAATGGCGTTATACGTTTGCACTGTCATCAACAGATGTGAAACACGATGCACACGCAGTACTGTAATGACAGTGCACAAAACTGAAAAGTCGTTACATTCTCAATGCACGTGCCAGAGGTTTTAGCAGCAAAGAGTGATGCACTAATTACAGAAGCAGAATTTCATTATATATAACATTATTAAGTTTAGCTTGTATTGAATAACGATTATTATGAAGATTGCTTGCTGTCTTCTGGGTTGTTGAACCCACGTAGTCTGGTAGATGTCCACTGATGTTTCAGAGGTCACGCTGCCTCCATCATCGCCCTGATGACGGAGACAGCATGACCTCTGAAACGTTGCTGGATATCTACCAGACTACGTGGCTTCGACAACCCAAGACTATGGAACTAACTACCTGGTATAGAGCATTCCAGAAGCATCTGGAAAGTATTAATAAAAATCAATGTGCTCTATGAAATAAACAATAGGTAAATGTCATTTTAACAAGAATCACAATGTGTGGGGTAGAGTATAAATCATGTAATTTTTCAATACCTATTGATCAAATAATGCAAGAAAATTAATAAAATGTTTATCACCTATCCTTTTACCTTCCCAACATTCAATTTTCAAACTAATTATGTTTTGGAAACAGGTTACATTTTCTGCATCACATGAAAAATTCCGACACTATTGGTTTCCCAGGTAGAGCTAGAGGTCCAGCACTGGAGACAAGCGATACCCAAGTAGCCAAAATGAGATTTTTCAAGTGACAAAGGAAACAGAACCAGATTTAAAAAATAGGAAAATGAACAAAGTTCAAGAGATAAGTCATGCACTGTGTGACACCATCGCCAGAATCCTTCAGGCATAAATGAAAAACTGGGTGTAAATTTGCAACAATGAGATACTTTGTAGCACATTAACAGATTAGAGTATATACAAACAAAACAAAAAAATACTCAGATGATAATTATGTCATATAAGTTACCTGGAAAAAGCAAGTCTTTCCCTTTCTGCATGTTAAAATATTCTTTATGCTGAAGATTATAAAGATGAGTTAAAATATTCTTTATGCTGAAGATTATAAAGATGAGTATAACTTTTGCAACTTTTCGTAATGCTTCTGATCCTGTAAGAACAATAAATATTTTATTCATACACTCACTCGACAAATACTAAAATTACCATAATCAATTCATAGTGAAAACTGCAAAAACAGACCTTGTCAGAAACTGATGGGCGTATCTTTTCTAGTGCCTTTGAGAAGTGCTTATTAGATACAACTAACTTTGTGGTTGTATTTGAAGCAGTAATGACTTCTTTAAGGGCTTCTGCTTCTCGAACCAGAGCAGCTAAATCTGCCCCAGTGTAACCAGAGCAATATGGACTTTCCCCAAGGGCTTTCAAGTCGACATCTGTGTCTAGGACAGGTTTTGTACCATTCTGTAACAATATGCAAGAGTAAGAAATAAATCAGAAACAAATGACAACACTACATCACTTATTACACAATTACATGTTTTATACACAATCTAATATACAATTTATCATAATGAAGGCCTCATATTTTTATTCAAGTAGTACTAATTCTTCAATCATAGATTATATTATAACTCAACAAAAATCAAATCTTGAGATCAAGGAAAAGATAATCACAGAAAGAGGAAAGCTCAGCATTACAGATCAATACAATCACCTGGGGGTTAAACTAACATCGGACGGTAAAGACATTAACAACATATTAAATAATACAGGCCAAGAAAGAAAGACAATGCAACAACTACATTCGATTCTTTGGAGTAAAGGGCTTTCAAACACAACAAAAAGACAGTTTTTATGACTTTGATTTAGAGTTGTGTCACCTAAAAGTCAGACATGTGGGTAATAAATAAAAGATCAGCACAAAGAATAAAAGCAACAAATTAATTACTGGTGAAGATGCTGTAGTATAACAAGACTCAAACTCATAAGAAATCAGAGAAAGGATGGAAGTTTAAAGAACACTTATAGACACTACTGAAAAAAAAATGAACTCTAGTATGGACACTTAAGACACATGCAAGAATAAAAATTTTCTCTTCACTGTGATCCGAAATACTTTTCCACTCCTGTATTTGCTTCATTATGAAATGAACTTAATTACCTGCACTAAGTAAAAATGTCAGTGATTCACAAACAGGGGAGTGTTTAATGTTTATATTTAAAAAAAATTTAAACATTTATCCATGTGCAATTATCAGAGACTTTGACTTACACTGAGAGGCCCCTGTAATGAGACTATACGTATCCTACAGATTTGTTGGGCATTACTATCCAATACACTGTGCCACAATCCCTCGCCAGCTAAACTGAATGCTCTTTTCAATACTTTCAATTCTTCATCAGTCCATACATAACCTACTTTCACACAGAGATACATGTAGGATGTGTTACTATACACTACCTTTGTTAGTGCGTTGAGAATATCCACTCTGTCAGGTGCAGACGGCAGGCCAACATACAGGATCTTGTCCAGTCTTCCTGGCCTCAGTACTGCCGGATCAACAATCTCTGGCCGATTACTTGCAGCCATCAGAAACACCCCTTTTCGACTTTCAATCCCATCCATCTCTGTCAACATCTGGTTCACTACACGCATGCTTGCTCCACCCTAAGTCAAAGCAAGTCAGTGTATAACACAAACAGCTGCACATCAAAATCCACAAGACATGCAAAATATGATACTATTAAAATACTTCATAACCTGATTTTCCATAACTGTACATTTATACGTATGTTACAGTGGATGTAACTAATTTAAATATAAATAACTAGGAATTATAGAAAATAACCAGCTGAATATATTTATTTATTTACTATTTTCTGTCTCTGACATAGGGACTGAATTTTTAAATATCATTCAGGCGTGATTCAGCTTCAAAGGGTTGAATGATTTATTGTGAAAGCAAATAGGTGTTCAGACACATCCTGCATAAATACATAAACAAACATTATTAAAATAATCCACTTTCTTGGATTTTATTTTAGGGCCATTTTAATCCCTTGACAACTGCGCCTGAAATATCACAGGCTAGTGCAAAATTCAGAATTCTGCTTTATCCAGAATTCCCTAATCTGTAACATACATACATTTTTACAAATTTTCTAATTAGATGTAATGCTCAATAACAGACTGTACATATTCTGTCATATTTTGGAAAAATACCTGGAAGTATTTGTACATTACATTACAGAGGTAATTCTAAGAAAAATATATTCTGGGATGATGCACTCAGTAATCTGGTACAAATTTACCAACATTTCTGAGGTGTCTGTTACCTCCATCATCAGGGTCTACCAAACTACGCAGAGCAACACCCCACAAGACAGACATCTTCACACTTGCCATGAAAACCTGAAATCTCACCAACTTAATACTACTTTACCTCTCCAGATTCTGATCTCTTTGGACAAAGGGCATCCAACTCATCAAAAAATATTACACACGGTGCCGAGTTCCTTGCTCTTTGAAAGCACTGCCTCACTGCTTTTTCACTCTCACCAACATACTGGAATTAATACAGAATAAAATATATAACACTTCTGTTGACAATAAAAATTTTACGCTGAAAAATAAACACACACACCCAATCATATACAGTAAAATGTACACTACATACTTCACATATTTTTCAAGCTGTTTTAAGTTAAGGGCTCATGCAAATTAGGGTTGTTTTAAATGGAAATGATTCTGCATTTTATTGATGAGAAATGAACATATCTTTAGTTTTCTATGCATTTATTTCTGATTTCCCAATAAATTAACACCATCAGCAACAGACATAAGCTCCATAAAACACGTGCAAATGAAACACTAGAAGGAATGGCAACTGTTTTTGAAGAATGACGTGCAAGAACAGATTTGAGATTCTCGTGGCAATGAGTACAAAGATGGCTCTCTCCTGGGTTGTGGCACTGTCGTCTGACAGAAGTTCACAAATGTTTCAGTGGTTCTTGTTGGCCTGATGATGATTTTTCTGTATGATAGTTAATACTTACAGAAATCATCAAAATAATTGTATTTACCATATTAAGGAGTTCTGGACCTTTGACTGAAATGAAGTTGATTCCCGCCTCGTTAGCCACAGCTTTAGCTAGAAGTGTCTTCCCACAGCCTGGTGGACCACACAGTAATACACCTGAAGCAGCAGAAATTCCCAACTCAGCAAACTGTTCAGGATGTCTTACAGGAGCCTTGAATCAAAACAGAACCACCACCTACCTATAACTGACTTATCATAAAGCTCCAGTTCAATCATAATGTAAATTTGGTATATATTTTAACCACGTCAGTACACTCCAAAGATTTTATTTATGCAAAATATGGCCATGAAATTTGATCTGAACCAATTGTTTTGAAATGAATTATCAAAGGCACTTAAATCAACTCAACTGCAGTAGTTACCAACTGTTCAGAAATTAAATATGTGTACTTCAATCTAACAATCCAAAAATAATGAAAATTTTAGTTTGAGCAAATATGTCCAAAATCTTGCTACAACTAAGTTACATAATTTATCCTCTAACTTGAAAGTCAAAGAACTAAACATGTATGACATTTAAGATAAAACACTGTAAAAACCTGTAACTGTCATTCACTGTAAAACAGGCACAATAACTGATAGTACTGTTTCTTACCAATATTGTCATTTGCAATTCTTCACGGATATCCCTCAAGGAACCAACGTCATCCCAAGTAACATCAGGTACTGTAGCAAAACCTTCTCTTTTAGCTGAAGGCTGGACACACTTAAGAGCCTGTTTAAAATCTTCTAAGTCAACATGAAGTTCATTTAATTGTTCATCCGATAATGGACACTGTTCACCATGCAACCACGCTGTTAAGTCTAGTATCTCATTACTGAAAGATTCATTATTTACAACACTTTCTGCTGATAATTCTGGCTCATTCTTTGAAGTTTTCTTGTTTGAAGACACCTCATTTGAAGGTTCCTTGTTTGAAGATCCATTATTTGAAGGTTCCATGTCTGATGACACTTCATTTGAAGACTCCTTGCTTGAAGATTCCTCATTTGCATTGTTTTCAACATTCTGAAGTGGGTCTTCTCCTACAATTTCAACTACATCCTTTACATTTTGTACTTTATCTGCACTTCTACTGGTGCCTTTCTTCAAATTGGCAAATACCCTAAAAAAATATGGATTGCATAAGTATTATCATATATTAAGAGCATTCACCAGAGATATGGTGCATGTCAGAATTTTGAATACTTACATCATTATGTTTTGTTACTACTAATAAATATATTTATAATGTCACAATCCAAACATCACATGTCAACTTATGTATCACACCAAAATATTTCATGTATTTGCTATGATATTATTTCCATTTTCCAAAATGGATCTTAATAAAATTCATACATTCGCAATAACTTGAAGACTTTACACTGAAATGCCTCACAAGTATGCAGGCTCACATGCTGAAATTTCCAATGATATGAAAAATACCAAGACAGTTCTTCAACAACACAACAAATTTCACAAAAGAGGTCAATTGGTATCTATGGTATTCACTACAGAAAGAAGAACAAGGTTCCAAACAAGGAGCTCTGGGAGGGTTTCAAAACATCTGATATGAGGACTAAAGTACCCAAGCAGACAGACACCCTACTTCCCACCCACGCAAATATCCCTGACTTCAATTCAGACCTTACTTATGCTATTCATAAAGACCAGAAGTCAATATGAAAAATAATTCAACTATGCTAGCCATTATGGACATATTCTGTCTTTCAGGCAAATAGATCATACTTCCATCTGTCAGTGGTAAAATAAACTATTCATGCTATCCACCAGTGACCACATGAACTAACTGGTATCACACTCATTGGATGTGGCATAAGAATACCTTGGAATCTTTTATCTTTATCTAATCTTATCATACAGACTGACATCAGTATAACAGTTGATAAATATGACATAAAATGCACCATAATCCCATTCAAGAGAGATATTCATATTTTAATTGAGAATATTATAATTTCAATCATAAATCTTCAATATCCTGCATTTACGGGACCATATAATGACACGTCAGATTAGCCTTAATGTTTCAACAATACTTCCCTCATGTTTTTAATTAATGCCATTCTCACTTTCAGGTGGAATAAATAATGAAAATTACTTCCAAAATAACAGAACTCAATCATAATGAAACCACCAACCTGTTTACTGCAACCATAGATGCTTCCCGAGTCAATGCCATTAAGTCTGCTCCGACAAACCCTGGTGTATTCACTGCTACGTACTCATAGTTGAAATCTGGAGCAAGTTTCAACTTGTTGCAAAGAATCTGAAGAATATGAACTCGTGCATCCTTATCTGGTATTCCTAGACACACTTCGCGGTCAAATCGGCCCGCTCGACGTAATGCAGGATCTAATGAGTCTGGCCGATTTGTGGCACCAATTACAACAACATGATCACCACCCTCTTTTCGACCCAAATCTAAAATTTAAAGGGCAGAATTGAATGTCTGTAATACATAAAATTTTAAATTTGTTTCTTTTCACACAACAACTTACTCTAAACTATAGAGTATTACAAGAAATCAGTTGTAAATATTACCTGTAATGTTACAAATGCATCTCAAAGATGTTCTGAAGAGCAGAGATTAGAGTACCACCATCAAAAATAACATTTCTCAAATGTATGCACACTAAGATCAATGTGGGCATATAACATTATTATCAAGTACTACAGTATCAAGTTTTTTACATCCAATTATGTAAATAAAGCTGTAATGGGCCAAACTGAGTTGAGTGCTGAGTGCAGAATTCAATTAACCTGAAGAGGATACATTAATTATGGTTGACCCTAACAGCCATAATAACCTATTGTAAATGAAGAAATAGTGAGGGTGAGAACAGTATGCACAGCAAAGACTGCTTTACAGTGATTGATAACAAGCCCCCACTCTGTACTTCCTGCTACAAGAAGTAGGACCCTTTGAAGGTCAAGCTTCTTATTGCGTCTAAAGAACAACAAAATTTGTATGAATGACACTGTCACGTCTACTGCTGCATCTTATAATCCCATGTGTAGCACTTTGCATTGCCCACATAAAATCCTCAAACATGAGATGAATTTGGTTTTACAGGTAAAAGTTTTAGAAACAACAGTGCAGGTGTTATCTAGATAAAAAGAGGACTTCCATCCATCCAATGGTTCTACAGCCCATATCGGGCCTTGGCCTCCTCAATTTTCTGCCTCCATCAAGATCTATTATTTGCGGCCATTTTCCAATTTTGACATTGGATCAGACTGGCAGCATCTCGTTTCACAGCATCTTCCCACCTTCCTCTAGGTCTTCCCACCACTCTTGTCCCTTCAAACTTAGCATTTAGGGATATCTTAAGGGTTCTTGTACCACCCATCCTTTGAATATGCCCCGCCCATTGCGGTCTTTTTAATTTAATGCGTGTTACACGATCGGGATATTTATATAGCGAATATAACTCCTGGTTATATCTTACCCTCCACTGGTCATTGTCTTTAACTGGCCCACAAATCCTTCTTATTATTTTTATTTCAAACACTATCAGGGCATTTTCCGATTTCTGGGACAGCACCTAGTTTTCAGAGCCATACATGAGGACACTGCGAATTAAGGTTTTATACAGCAGGATCTTCGTTTTCTTGTGTATATCTCCACTTTTCATCACTGCCACTAATGAAAAGTAGGCCTTATTGGCCAACATTAGCCTTCTTTGGATCTCTCTATATTCTTCAATATTACTGTTAATGCATGTGCCCAGGTAAAAAAAGAGGACTTACAGAAGTTGAAAACATTAATCTGTGAGATCAGAACTATAGAAAGATGGTCAATACTTACAAAGCATATAAGACCTACCATCAAGACAAGACAAAAGCTGTGCAACAATTCTTCTTTCCATTTCTCTCTGTGCTGTATGTCGATTTGGTGCAAGGGCATCAACTTCGTCCAAGAACAAGATGCAAGGCGCATTTTCTGCGGCTTGATCAAATAAATCACGAATTCTTTCTTCCGATTCACCCGATACACCAGCAACCAATTCCGGCCCAGCCACATTCATCAATGGTACACCTAGCTCCTGCAAAATACATTGTACTACAAGTTTTAAATGTTCTAGTCACTCAATAATATGTACAGCAAAGCAACTTTCTATGAAATGTAACATGTCTAATATCAAATTATGCTTCCTTTAACACTACCAATCCAGGCTCTTGGATGGTAATCCATGTTTGTCTTCATTTACCTCATTCATGCATTAACAAAATTCCTTTCAGTGTCCAGAAATCAAATGGTCAGAATACATAAAAGAGAAAAATTATGAAACAGGTTAGTTACAAATTGCTGAACTCAAAATCAGTGCTTCATATTGCACAAAATGAGGCACCTCTTCAAAGCAGCTTAACAATCGAATGGGAATGGCATAAAAAAGTACAACTTACCCCTGAAATGGCATGAGCTAGCAAAGTCTTCCCACAGCCTGGTGGTCCATGGAGCAGAAATCCTCGAGGTGGTGTAACCCCAATCTGTTTGTACACTTCAGGGTGACGGACATGTATCAGCAATTTACATACTTCCTGCATAAAATTATAAACAACTAATCAATTCTTGTAGCAGATTAAACCTTAAATTACTTTTAAATACCATGTTAGTAAGATAATAAATAGACATAAACCCCTGACAATGCTGTCTCTGTCCAGCATCCAGTATTACACAAAGTATGAAGTATACAATACTATTAGGCTGTAATTATCTCCAGAAATAACAACTTCAAC